ACCAACGCCTAGAAAAGGGGCCATCAAAACCCCTTTCGAGTGTGTGTGCCGGGGGGGGGGGCAGATATCCATCTTTGGGTTATTATTTTGTGGTCAAAGCTCAAAGAGCTTATGTTAAATTTGAGAACACAGAAATTTGAGAGCACAACCCCCCCTCCCCAGGTCCCTTATCTCATAGTTCCCACGTCATAACTTAGATGTGTTCTCCATTGGATGTTTTGTAATTTCTTGGGCACGTTTCTATTGGCTAACGGGTTCCTTCTGCAGGACAACTTCACCAATATCTGCAAAATCCCGTTTACAGCTTAACAAAGCGCGTTTACGAACATCAACATTGACGTCGAACATTAGCGATACGAACATGACCACTGACAACATCTAGGATACATCCACTGCCATCGTACTTGCCTATCATCAACGACATTTACCAACATATGCGTTTCGTATTATTGCGATCATGAATATCTACGCCACAAGCTTTTTCCCTTGCGAGCAACGTCTACAAACACCTGGTTAACGAACATTTACTATTGCGAACATTTGCGTACGACCTTTTAATATGCGAACATCTGTCCCACGGGCATTGTAAGGTCATGTAACTTTGCACGTCCAAGGAACACCCTTAAACAAAGCCGCCGTCACGCAGCCGTGTACCCACGCAAACTTGTGCAGCCTATTACGCGCACCTATAGGAGTTTCACCCATGCCAGTATGACGTCATAGAAACGTCACACGGGCACGCCACCTCGTTGCCTATGTTGTGTTCATGGCCAAGAAAACAAAATATGCCCCCTCCCTCCACTTCCCGTTTCCTTGAAACTCCGCGTCTGCCTACTGTCTTCTTGTCCGGGTGCGGACTAAAGCGAGCCGCCCGAATCAATGCCGTGTCATAGGTTAGGAAATTCTCGTCACCGCCTGGCTATCCACGTCGCCATTCGCAGGTGGTTAGCCTCGATGCGCCATGACGCGATCACATATTAATAACAGCGAGCCTTTGAACGCCGCTGCCGCGCCGGTTCAGGCCTCCGGAGACGGCGGACGGGCGCGGTCCCGCTCTCTGCGAACTGCCGCCGGCCATCAGCAGCCCGACGAGACGGCGGCCTGCCGCTGCCAACGAAACGGGCCGGCGACGGCCCTCGATCAGGTCAGTCTGGCGTGGGCCACCGAAAGCGGCGTGGATCATGGCCATACGGGTCAGCACATCACCCTTGACGACTGCTCAGCAGAGCGGAACCCGTTAAGGCGCGCCTGGACGCTGGCTCCGAACGTCCGTTAGAACTTTTTACTGAAGCGGCTGGCGGAAGTTTACCCTAGTGCTTGTTGGTGACAGCATACAGCCAGAGTGCAGCTCAGCCCTTGCATGTTGGGCTGGTTGTTTCATAATCCAGACATTTCGTGCGATAATACCAGCGTGCTTTACTTCATGAAAACACATATTTCGATTTTATCAAATCAAATGAATGAAAATGTCCTTAAAGGGGGGGGGGGGGGGGCAGTCACCTGACTGAAGGGCTCCCGCCCATTGGCGTAGTGTTGCGTACATTAGATGGGACGCTCATTACGCTATTTGGCGGGAGGGGTAACAGGGGTATAGTTGTCTATTCAATTTGGGATTGGGGCTTCAGTCCCAACTTTGGCTCCTGTCGCTCGCCCTCTACTCCACTTTGAGAAGAAAAAGTGCCAAATCCTGGAAGAAACCAGTTAGTTGGCGTGTATTGACGGCGAGTTTCATCATTTCTCACTGTCAAACCCCAACTATTTTTGCGAAAATACACCCCTAGGATCCGGGGTGAAACTTTGCATCTCTTTGGGGGCCATGGCCGGGCACAAATGTTGAGATGGCCCCCAATGCTGGACTGTTCCCCCAGATATTGAGCTGGGCACCCATATTTGGCTGGATCTTCACAAGGTGGAGCGTGGCTCCCGACACCCTATGAAATCTTTGAAGTAGAGATAATCTGAGATTTCGTGGGAATTCACGATTAGCTGGTAAAGAAAGACACTTATACAACACAGAACACAATAACTTACATACGACGAAACCCGAAAAAGCTGTACCTTGTAAGTCGCTAACCTCACAGCGAATGTTTACGCGTCCTTGGGGCTTTACGACGCTTCTGAGACCATATGGTGACGCCTGTCTGGCAAAAAGGGCGGGCACCGTGGGGAATCCAACCCTGCTGTGACTGGTTACACGCAAAAGCAATAACTTGTACACATTGTCTAACTCGTAATGACACTCGAGTGACATGTCATAACGCGAGTATTGAAATGGTGGTGGTGGTAGCTGACAGCGGCGAGAGTATTAACATTCTTAGACTTTTGACTCAATATTATATCTTGAAGTAAAAGATGCCGCCAGCTTCCTGGGATATGCCATTTTTTGTGTCGTTGACATGGAAACATAAAAATCTTGTGCTGCATGTTCTAAGAATCTTGAAGGAATACGAAAACTTTCTACGCTCTTATTGAGGAATGTGACACGAGCGATGCATGCACAATATAAAAACTGGACATAAAACACAAGGATGTTAGGTTTAGTGCGCCCCGCACGTAAAATTGTCTTGCATTCGAACTATAAGATAGTTTAAAAAACCTAGCATACTAGTAACGTACAGAATAAGCATACACTGTAATAGACATTATGCATACTACGCAATATGTAATACGTACGTATTTTATACATTTTCCTACGCATTGTAACATTGTTTTAGCATGTGCGGTACCGCACGGAGATGGCGCGATGGCGCAATCTCGATTGGCCGTGATGCTGTAATTGTTTATTTCGTTCAGAGAATGTGTCTCGAAGTCGCACAGATGCATTTTGCTGGACAGGAGCTGAAGGCCCTTTCGTCCCAGCCCAGGACACCTACCAACCTCTATTCTGGCGAAACGGGGACCGGGATGCCTTGGTCGATCCGGAGCCCCTCAATGGGATACATCATACACCGGCCCCATCCATGAAACAGCAGGCCCTCTGACCTGGGCATCTGACACAGGAACGACGCAGGGACGCGTCACTGGCGCAAAGGGATCCCTTACCGGCTCTGGGAACTCAGAGCCTAACTGGCGCCGGAGCACAAATTAGGCTGATCGGCCTCCTGGTTGGCCGATCTTAGGCTAGGTTAGGTAGGTTAGGTTAGGTTAGGATCTTAGGTTAGGTTAGGTTAGGTAAGGTTAGGTTAGGTTAGGTTAGGTTAGGTTAGGTTAGGTTAGGTTAGGTTAGGCTGGTCCTGGTTGAAACGGTGTGGAGGGCCCCTCGTTCGGCACCTCGACCTCTGACTGGGACAGTTTGCTGTCTCATTTTGTGTGCAGACCGTTGCATATCATCACTTCCCATATCTCCTATCACTGGCCAGAGGGTCCTAACCAACGCAAGATACATTTTGACATTTGAGGTTGCGCTCCTGTCCCTGCTCAGCAAAGTGCCCATGGCCTACTCTGGGCTTATTGCCGACACGGAGCCCCTTGTTGGGCAATATGAGCCTCTGATCAACACAGGAGCCCGACCAATGCACGATCTCTCAGATCAGCGTTTGCAGTTCCGGTCCTGCCCTGACTTGAGAAAGAGGCCCCAGAGCCAAAATCGGCGGGGAACCTGGTGTTCGGTTTTGCCTACTGGCTGAGTTCCTTTCATTCTCGGCCTGACCTTTGGATCTTCCGATCAGACCCTTGATCGTCGCTCACTCGGGACCTAAAGGGCTCCTGAAAGGCGTTTAGACTGGCAAAAGCGACTGCGGCATGAGTTAGACCCACTCGATCCAGGCAAAGGCGATGCGTGTGACACACTACTGCTGCGTTGATCCTCACATGCGTCACCATGAAAGGAGATGTTTCACATTTGAAGATATTGAGGCAAACATCAGATATGATGAAACAAACTCACTTATAAGTATTGCTATATTTTTAAGTGAAAAGATTTTCCTAGACAGCACAATTATCTGTTTAGTAAATATGCTCCTCAATGCATCATGATTTGATTGCGTCATCGAACCTTGCCCAACATTGACTGAGAGCCAATTGACGGCCGTTATATCTGGAAATCGCGCTCTCGAACGCCATATATGAACGCCTCGACAGTTATACCTTTTGGCCCTGATGGCCGCATGGCTTTTGGAATGCCAGGATTTCATGACGTCATTATGGCGTCACGAGTGCGTATACCCCCCAGGATTGGTATACGCGGCTTCTGCGCGACCAAGAATAAGAATGCTAGCGAGGTTGAAGAGGGCATAGAAATAAACGAAAGATGATCCCTTCAGGTTACATGAGTGACACGCTACAACGAAACAGATTTCTAAAAAATCCAGGACGCTGCGTGAGCAATGCTCATAGTTTTTTAGCACCATTTCCTCAAGCACGTAGACAAAATATTCCACATGAGGGGAAACTGTAAAATCTCCTGCGTCATCCTGCCAGCTTGGACCAAAGTTTTTTTTTGGTCTCAAATTCAATACTTTTGTTAACAAAAATGATAATTTTGTTTCAACTTCAACACCTTTAATATAAGGCCCGTCCCAATAACGCTGTTGATTAGAGTCAGCGGTGCGGCCAAGGGAGGAGTCTCGGAAGGACCTGAGCACCCTCCTTGGACCCTGATTTCTTTCATCATAAATGAATTCTGACGGACGGTTAAAAGCAGGTAAGTTAAATGCAGACTTCGTTCGGGTCACGTGCGCTGTCCCGGGTGAATGCGGACCTCGTGACTCGTCGGCCGGGACGTGTGTTGACACCCTCACAGTGGCACTAGTGACCTCCCCTTCACCAATCGGACAAACACGCTGTCAACAACAACCTAAACATTCACGCACGTCTAACCAAGCGCTTCACTACGTTGAAACAGGAGGAGATCTTCGGCTCTGCTAGTGCTATTTCAGGTAAACGAAAACAGAACGTCGGCGTAACAAAGACGCCGACGATATCAAGTGGCCTGCTCACACTCAGTCGCGCTCTGCCTGTCGCACCAGCTACCGCGCGGTGTCGGTCTCCTCGCTCGCAGCATGGCCCAGTTCGCCGGCTCCTACCAGTTCGTCTCTGCGGACAACGACGAAGCCCTGCTGACGGCAATGGGATTGGGCGCGATGAAGCGAAAGATACTGCTGAACATCAAGCCCGACGTCGACATCAGCGTAGACGGCGACCACTGGACACTCAGCACCGTCAGCGCAATTCATACAAACAAGCGTGAATTTGACCTGGGTCAGCCACATCAGTTCACCAGGCCAGACGGCAAGGCGGTAACGGGAATGGTCACCAAGGAGGGTAACAAACTGCTCGAGACGCAGAAACACGAGCAAGGTGTGAGCCTGGAGATCACGCGCGAGTTCATCGACTCGCAGATGGTCATCACCAGGAAGATCGGCGAGGTTGTGTCCGTGAGCGTGCATGAGAGGAAGTAGGCGCACAGCGGCAGACGCCGCTACGTTTGCCAACTGGGCGCAGCAGGGGAAAAAACTGCCTGCAACCACGGCAATGCATCATGCAATATGGGCAGCACCCGTTCTCTCTGGCTTCGTTACAAATAAATGCATAGATGTTAAAATTCCAACCGGGAATTTAAGGTGCGAATTGTGGAACCGTTATGCGCGAGAGCTTATATTTACTGTCTGCCAGATGCAACAATGTTTTTCTATCAGAACCTTGCTACTTCTTCGCTCTTTTTTTCCTGTATCAATCGGGGGAAACTTTCAACCTCGCCTTCGCCACCTGGACATATTCTTGTGCATTGGTCCTCGTGCCTCATTTCGCCGTATCTCATCATGCGTTGACAAATACACACTATCATTTACCTGCAATGTGACTGTTTAATGCAGCTCAGCACAGCCAGAATGTGTACATAGCACAATACTCGAATCCATTGCTGTTAAGTTGTAGACGTGCATGGTAAAAGAGAAAATATAGCAGAGCACCATGTTCCGGCTGGTTCACCAAAAACAACAGCAGCAATGGAATGCTTTTGCGTCGGAATTATACCGCAGAGCAGACCAGAGTAGTACCTCACCGTGATCCGACGAGGGCAGAGCGACGTGACCCGACGAGGGCAGAACGACGTGACCCGACGGGGGCAGAACGACGTGACCCGACGGGAGCAGAGCGACGTGACCCGACGAGGGCAGAGCGACGTGACCCGACGAGGGCGGAGCGACGTGACCCGACGAGGGCAGAACGACGTGACCCGACGGGGGCAGAGCGACGTGACCCGACGGGGGCAGAGCGACGTGACCCGACGAGGGCAGAGCGACGTGACCCGACGGGGGCAGAGCGACGTGACCCGACGGGGGCAGAGCGACGTGACCCGACGGGGGCAGAGCGACGTGACCCGACGGGGGCAGAGCGACGTGACCCGACGGGGGCAGAGCGACGTGACCCGACGAGGGCAGAACGACGTGACCCGACGAGGGCGGAGCGACGTGACCCGACGGGGGCAGAGCGACGTGACCCGACGAGGGCAGAGCGACGTGACCCGACGGGGCAGAGCGACGTGACCCGACGAGGGCAGAACGCCCCCTGAGTGGCGTCAGCTGGTGGAGCAGGCTGGTGTGGCATGGAGCTTGCGTCTGCAGTCACTTCGTTAGTTTCTGGTGCATTCTTTCGTGAAATAAGCGTAAGTTAGTTAATAAGTTAGTAATTTTTTCACAACATACCACGTTACTGACATCATCAGCAATGACACGTGACCTTTGCCGCTTGACCAATGCTGACACCTAGCAGGAATTTACTCACTTCGAAATCCGATTGGATTCTCAATCAGTGACGCCGTTTATGTCAGTCATCCATTTCACCGTTCAGGTCTGCTTAACCTTGTTGACTGCCGAGGCTGTGGCTTGGCGCCTGTTAAATAACATCTTCGGGAACAGTTACCACACCTCAGCCACCCACGAGTCGTCCGGATTACCACGAATAAACTGTTAATGAACGTTTTGTTCTAACCAACATTCATACAAACAGTTGTATAGGGATGTGGGGTAGGACGGACACCCTTACACGATGTATCTCAAACATCATGAATGATAGCCACTGGGTATTGCATTCATGTATAAAACTGATGTTCCTAAACGCTCATGCAAAAGGGAATCGGGTGATCCCTTACCCGTACAACATCAATAGAATTTTCCCCATGGCTTACAAAAATCCGTCTTGCCTCACCGAGTGGGGTAAGACGGCTTTGTCTGGGGAAAAACGGTCAATCAGTGGGGCATCATTACCATGGCACTCACTCGCGGACCCAACGGGGAGGGGCAACGGAACCGTGATCTCCCCAAAATGGCTAAAATCGGACAGAAATGGCGCAGATTCGGACTTTGATAATTCTGGGAGCCTTTCCAGAGAAACGTTTGCCATAGAAAAATCCATGAGACAAGAGCAAGACAAATCCGGAGTTAAAAAAAATAAGGCGTTTGATTCCAAGTCAGCGTTTTGAATACTGTTTTGACTGCATATAAGGGATACGAAGTAGGGCATCACCTCAGAAATGCATAGATTGGTTATCTCAGAGTTTTTAAGGCTCTTGGGACACAACTCAGATGTAAACCACAACTTGTGCTGATCCAACTTATGTAACCCTAGTACATGAAGCATTTGAGCGGAAGAAACAGCTGGAAACTGTTGAAGCAAACGTAAATGAAACCCGAATCAATAGCTCACCAGTGTCCCAGGCTTACTCAACATCATATAGTTCAGGATCTCTTAGCTCTGAGAATACAGCTCGCATGTGGAGTACAGATCACGAGCGTGATCTGTACTTCACACGCGACTTCCGTTGTACTTGTACTTCACTGACTTCTACTTCTTCGCTTCTTCAATTTCACTATCATCTTCCTCCCTTGGCTTCCTTTTCTGCCGTTTCCCTTGATTCGTGCCTATGGGCCTCTCTGTCTTCTGCCGTCTTCTGCTGGCTGCTTCTGTCATTTTCATTGCTACAGACCTTCCCCTTTTGTTGCTGGCTGTACGTGTCTTCCCTCTGTGCATGCACTCCTACAACTGCTCTTTGTACAGAGAACTCGTTAGACTGACCGTTTCTACTCGCTTACGACATATTCGTGGCTTCTTTTGCTGACGTGCTTTCGGCACGGGCTGTATATCAGCAGGGCTGGACGTCGCCGGTGGCACTACAGCAGCTGGGCGAGGCGGCGAAGTAGGTACAGCAGGCTCCCAAGTGACGGTTATTGATGAGGACGGCTTAATCGTCCCAGCCGTCAACGCCTCCGCTGTTGTTAGGTCCTTCACCGCCGTGGCCACCTCAGCGCCCCATACTGCTTCCGTCGTCCCTGTGGCTGTGGATGCCTCTGCATTCCCAGACGTGGACACATCAGCAGCCTCAGACGAGGTGTTTCTGAAGTTGTGAGCGTCTTGCCTGCCAAGGATGCCTTAGGTGCCGCTGGGGCTTCCGCAGAGCAGGACGCATCAGCTTCGCTGTCGGTGTCAACATCATCGAGCTCACCGGTCCAGCGGAACAATGCCGCGCTTTTTAAGGCCGTTGCTGGCTGTGGTAGGCGTGACCGCCTTCAGAGTACACCTCGCCGAACGGTCCAGCCACTTGGAAGATGGATACAACTCGTGCAGGGTTCTGCTTGGGAAGTTTCTCCATAGACTGTGAATAAAAGATGCCCAGAAACCACATGAACGTGACGTGAAGAGGTAGCAGACGGGGACTGGTGTGAGGTGGTGTGACAATGACGGTCACGCGGCGGTCTCACGCGTGGCCAGTCACTTCGAGGCTCCTGGTATGGCTCAGGTGGCCATCCATGACGGGCAGAACTGAATGATCTGCCGAAGGCGTGACGTGCTTAACAAAGTGGTGGAGCCATTTCTTAAACATGGCGCCCTGCATCCATTCGGAGGGATGATATTCGCAGACTGTCCCGGTGAGCGCGCCGTCTTCCAGGTTTTTGTTCTCACGAACTCGTGGGAAAACCATCATTGGTGGAACAAAGTTGCCACCCGCGGACATGCACACAAGCGCCGTGGTAAGATGCCCCCGCGCTGCCGAGGCTACACTTCCAGGCTGCTTTTTCCATTTTCGGGTCCGGACCTTGCTTTGCTTTGCCCGTACTTTTGTTATATCTGTTTCATCAGCATTGTATACTTTGCGAATCAGTGATGCCATCACGTACCTATTCCAGCGAGTCGAAGAAGTTGTCAACGACAACCTTATTAAATCCGCGGACACGTGCCGCAGACGTGGCTTGTGATTCTCCACAATGAAGCTTTTGTTGTGCCCCTTTTGCGGAAGGGGCCAATCAAGAACTGGGTTAGGATGGAAAGCAAAGCAACCGTGATGTCCCTTAAAATGAGCGCTTCGGCACCCTTTCAATCGCCCGCTCAGACTTGTTACCTGTGGTAAATGGATGTTTTAGTGCTGCGAAATGAAGGTTTTGGTGTTTCTTAGCCAAATGAACCGCTCTGAAATTTTTTGTCTATCAAGTATAAGGGTCTGGAACCGTTTCAGATGTCCCCTTAATAAGGCGTCTTTGAAAAATGCAGGTTATGGCTCCCCAAACTTCAAAAATTCTTATAGGTGCCACTTTGCCGAACGTCAAAAAATAGACCGAGCAGGAATTTTGTCGCCGTGAAGCGCGCAGCAACCCCTCTGAATATAAAGGTCATGGTGCCCCAACATAAAGGTTTTGGTGCAACTCGCCTAGGGGACTATTCCAGGAGTTGGTTCGGCGTGCGACACACAACACTGTTGTGCTGCTTGATAATGAAGGCTTACTGGACTTACTGGCTTACTGGTGCTCTCTGGAATTGCGTGTCCACTGAAAATGAAAGCTTTGGTGTGGAGATGCTGTTTTAATACTCTTTTGCCGACTGGACCGATCCAGGATTCTGTCTGACAGAAAAGGCACATATATTGCAGTACCCCTGGAATTCGATGCCTTCGCAAATGCCTCCGTTTTGGGTGTCTCAGGAATTTGCTGCCTCTTCCATCCCTGCCTGGGATATAGCCAACTGCTATGATTTGCGTACTACGAGAGGAAAAAAAAATACTTGAAGTCGTGAAGTGGCAAACATATGATTGAGCTAACAAGATGGCATGTTTTAATATAGGTGCTTTTTCAGTGATTTCAGGCAAAGCATCTACTTTATTAATATTATCCCAAATCTGCATACCGTGAGAAAGGTCTCACGATAAAATGGCTTCGTGTTCGACTCCTTTGCATGCGGAGTGACTGATACAATTTCATGAATCTCCGGCTGGCGGTATCGCCACGGCCTAGCTCACGTTCAGTTCCGTTCTCGCGGGGAAAATATTACGTGATCCCTTTGGCCACTTATTACAGATCCTTTCATTATGCATATAGCCTCGCATTCGCAGTGTTAAAAGGCAGCACCTACTGAAGTGCGTTGGCAGCGATCAGCCCCACGGTGTACGTTTCCTTCAAAATCATGAGGTTTG